CTTATTTGACCTATAACTTCATATCAGCATCATTTGGTTTAACATGTTAGGTGATCCTCGCGATAATATCCCTCCTGTACCTATGTCACAGTTAGTCTTATTACCTTTTTAATTACAGTTCTTATCATTATTCTTGGGACACCTTGTGAAAATTACCAAGAGATTATTTTGCTGATTCGATAAGTTATTGATTTCAGCATGATCTATATAACTTTTATTATTTACAAAAATAGTCTAAAATCAGATACATATGTAGATGCTAATCAAGTGACAATTATTAATCGATAATGACCAGATAACCAATATCAATATAACACTAGTTAAGTATTATATTCAGTTGAAAAAAATTTATGAGGGTTATAAATTTAAACAACAGCTAAACACTTGAAGTTTCAAAGTTAATGTATGAGAATCTGATTTTGACATAAATAGATGACATATTTATTTACAAATGAGTGATGTATTAACTTTATTTCATTTTTTGATAAATTTGAAATGATAATTTTTGTCATCGAAAAGTCTATTTATCTTGTTAAATGGATCTTGAGACATTCCCATTTTATTTTCTGATTTTAAAAGTTTGAAATACAATCAAGATTTTTCAAACTCTCTTTTAATTATAAAATGTGTCACTCATTTGTTAACTTTGAAACTTCAATTTCAAAGATATAAATAAGTTTAAAACTTTCGCTACTTATAAGAAATCATGTCTATTAAATCTCAATGATATAAAATATTTTAAGACTTTTAATAGGAGAAAGGTCTAACTGATATTTGTATAAGTTAAATTAGAAATAGAACTTTAGTTAGAACATGAAAGTAGAGATCATTTGAAGGCTTGTAGTTTCATATGAGTTTTAATTTACAAATCAATTGGCACCACAGGCATTAGACAACCTCTCTAGCATCACCCAAAGTTCAGTTACATACCAGAATTTAAAATATATACTGGAATTTAAAATTAAATACCAACATACAAAAAGTGATTGATATTAATACTGTAAAACTTATCAATATAATTTTTTTTTTTTGCAAAAAAAGCAACATGCAAATTGAATTGCTAATTTAATTCTTGCTATATGCATATGTATATCTTTTTTTACTAATGTTACATTAATTAAATTTTATATGAAAATAAAACTATTGCCAATAAAAAGTATTCAAATTACATCCATTTTATGTTTTTTTTGCAGTTTTTGCAGCTTTAAATCCTTCTAAGTCATTTACCATTTTTTTAATAGGATTTAGGTTTTTTTCAATTGCATTTAACTATTTTCTCTTTGAGGAAAAGTTTCTGATTTTTCAATGTATTTTATCATCTATAAATTAATAATATTAAAAATATGTAAAAAAAAAATAATTTAAATAACTTATAAAATAACAATATAAATAAATAATATCTTCACTAATATTTCTTTTAATTCAATTACCTTATTACTTGTATTTTTAACATCACCAGTATTTGAATTGTTTTCATTTATACTTAAATCTATTAAATTCATCTCAGATTTCTCATAATCACAATGTTTTATTTCAGAATTAGCCAATGCATTGGATAAATTATTCTTGATAATTTGTCAAATTGTTTGTTGGGTTTCATTGAAAAATGGATATTTGTTATTATATTAAACCTTATTAAAAAAAGTGTTATCCATATTTTCTAGTAACAAAACTAAATGTTTACAAAATATAAACCAATGTTTAAAAAATATAGTCATGAGCAAACCCAATTAGTATGATTAGTGAAATATTTGTTAAAATTTTTTATTTCTCAGTTTGCAAACTTTTTCACTCATTTGCAAAATCTTTTTGCCAATATGATTAAATTCTATTAGTAACAAGAAGATTATAATGATGTATTAGTTTTGGTAGCATTCGATTAGTAATAACATAACAGAAACATTAAGCTAAGGATGATTAAATTTGTATAAAAAATCATGTTTTAAGATTCTCCAATGTGACTCAATGATCATTGTAATGCAAACAATTAAACCATTTTTGTAAGCTGATAGTGGCCAAAGGTACCAACAATCCCATCTGTACCATTTTTGCATAAGTAACACCATATGTGAAGCAAGTTATAATGATAACAATATTGAAAAATTTCATTAATTGCTTGATGTCAGATTTTCTTTAAGGTTGATACAAACTCTTTATCTGCAGTGGGAATAAGTATATGATGATGAAAATGTATATCAATGTACTTTAATATTTCTTTTTGTAAAGACACTTCTAAAAAAAACCTTTTTAGAGCTTAAATTGGTATTTTGGATTGATTGCCAGGTTGGATTAATTATAGAGCATTGTTGATATGCAATAATAATATTATAGTTAGATGAAATATTACTAAACTTTGAAGACAGTTTTTGTTCAATTGCATGCCTTAAATGTCACTTGCAAAGTTGAATTTCTACATTTTTCCAAATAACCATTCTACTACTGATCTGAACAAAATCTTTGTCAGAAAGAATTGTTTTCACTTCTTTAAGTCCATTTTTATATAAAAATTTAAAGCATGATGTTATAGTTGTACAAATATCACATCCTTTACCAGATTCAATAAAACAATATGAAATTGAAAATCCAGTTTCATCTATTATTACCATTATCACTTAAAGCTCATATTTTAATTTATTAATGTTGTAAGTAGCATTTACCATAATTGTTTCAAATACTATATGCAGTAATTTATTAAAAAAACTTGTTAAGAAACCAAATACATGTATTGATTAATTTAAGTTAAGTATGATTTTAAATCCTTTTTCATATAAGAGTAATTTTGTTGATTGGTATTGGTTTTCATGTCATCAATAATATTTTGATGCTTCATGTGCCCATCAAAAATAAACTGGATCAATTGTTAAAGTTTCAAATCCATCAAGTTTTTTTGATATAATTTCATGATATAATTCTGGTATTCTAAGTACTAAATTCTCACATACATATTGTTTAACCTGTTCTGAAACTATAGTGTATCTTAGACATTGCTGAAGCTATTTGTGACTAAGTTTAATATTTGTACAATTGTTTGTTAAATTAATTGCAATTGAAAGAAGACCTTCACATGTGTATCTAATTATATATGACCCTGTATTTCATTGTTTAGAAATATCACTATGCTTTTGACATTTTGAGACAAGCTCTTTACAACAATTATACTAGTAATAAAATGTTTTTATATTTGTTTTTTTTTGAAGTAGTCTTGGTATGATATATATAATCATAACCGTCTCCTTTCTCAATATAATTAACAATCTTATTTGCAAGATAATGTTCATATTTATTTTCTTCAATATCTGCTGAAATCTCATTAATTAACATATCCAGATTGATCACTTGCTCAAAATAGAATTCACAACTACTTTCTAAGTATTCATCTATATTTTCTACGTTTGCAATAGCCTTATAAATTACATCAGTAATGTTATTAATGTCAATAATGTTTTCTTTAGAATCAGGTAAAGAAGTAAAATTTTCTTTATATTTTTGCTTTTTATTTTCCTTAATACGGGTTAAACAATCAGAACAAGTTTTTTGTTTCATAAAAAGTTTCTGGTGTTTTGTATGTTCTGCATGTTTTGCAGTATAATAAATCCATTGTAAGTAAAAGAAAAATGTATGCTTTTTCGCTTAAGCAAATTATTATCGTTATTGATTATTAATCAAAATAAATATTACAAATCAATCATACATATTAAATTATCGGAACTATAAAATTAATTGTGTTTAATTGAGTTTAAACTGTAACTGATTTTTGGGTGACGCTTGGTTCGTGGCATTAGACTATCTTTGTAAATAATAATCATTACATCGTTCATGCTGAAATCAATAATTTATGGAATCGGCAGAATAATAATTCGGTTAATTTTTCATGAGGTGTCCAGGAATAATGATAATAGCTTTAAAACCGGCAATTTTGGCACACATGTATATGTGCAAATGTAACTTTTTATAAAAAACGGTAACGTTGCAAAATCACGTATAGTTACGATATAATGAAATAAACAATCAGAAATGTTTGAATGCGATTATTATTACATGTTTATAATAACAATAAATATATATAGTAATATGTATAATAAATCAGCATTCGTACTGTACTATGTATGCATGCTCGTACAAACTATGGAAAAAGAAATATCCATGCACTCCGTTCCTGGTACCAATTAAATTACCGGCTTAATACTATTAGAAACAAAAAAAAATTATACGTATAAAAAAATTTGCTAACTAATACAGTAAATCTATACTAATATTTTATCACATCTATTTAAATGGTAAATGTGATATCTATTATTAATAACATTATCAAAAAACTTATATAATAAATAAACTAACTACAAAAACCGATCAAATATAAACATAAAACCTTATCTTTTCAAACCAAACTGTTAGCAATAAAAGGTTATTTTAATTTTAACGTAATAAAACAGTTTAAGCAAAGAACATTACTCTACAATATGTCTTTGTACGGTCAAATAGACAAAAATATATTGGTCTTCTAAGCAAAGTACATCAGTTCTGAGATTATATTAGATGTTTTAGCATAGTGAATATTAGTGAAACGTGTTCTTAAAAAGTATTGTATATAACATATAAGCAAGTTACCCGTGCAATCGATTTATATCAGTCAATCAGACAAACTTCCACGGAACCTAACAAAGAATTCTTTCATTTGTGTAAACCTAATTATTATTTACATGCTGCATTGTGTAATATGTATAATAAGAAACTCCATAGTGATTATGTCCCTTATTAATAATCTGCAATGTTCGATGGCTTTGTTTGCCAGAATTAATTTTATAATTGTTTTTTTTATACAAATTCATTTATATAAATATCTGTATAACCTTTATATTTGAAGTTCTTATAGTAAAAGTTTTGAAACTCAATATATAATAATTTATTAGTTCCGATTCTTTTAAAAAAAGTTTGTTATAGGATAGATTCACCATTAACAAGTTAATTATAAAAAATTGATTGTATAAAACATTTCAATTATGGAAGATAACAGCAAAGAAAATAGTGTAATAGAAATAGATGCTGCTCCAGTTACAGATAATAACACACCCTCAGTTACAAATAATAGTATACAAGAAAGCATAGGAACAGAAGTTGCTTCAATTACAAATAATAGTACACAAGAAGAAGTAGAAGAAGATGATATTCCGAGAAAAAAAATAATTAATCGAATTTCGGGATTGGAATTTAACATTAATCATATAATTGGAGCAGGTATTTTTATCAAAACTTATTAATGTTAATTTTAAGCGGTTAAGCATATTATGTTTTTTACATTTTATTAGGAATTTTTATAATCCCCAGCAGCATATGGAGACTGGTACTATCTCCTGGAACTGCTTTAATGTTTTGGCTTGCTGGTGGACTTATAAGCTTACTTGGAAGCATGATATATGTTGAGGTCATTGATTATAAAACTTTATTAAAATAATACCACATATGCTGTTTTTATCACCATTATTGTATGTATATTATTGAATATTTTTTATTTCACTATCATAGTTAGGATCCAGGTGCCCCAAAGGATCAGGGGAACAAAACTACCTTGAAGAGGCATTTAATTACGAGAATAAACCTGGTCATATATTCAGTTTTGTTTTGACTACGTATGTACACATATTAATTAATTTCTTAACGAAGGTCATCCAAAAAATCCAATCTAAACTTTTAAAAACTCAAAGTCGAAATCTCAAAAGTTCAAAAACTGAATCAGTGAGAGACTTCTATAAGGATTATGTTATTTCGGGTTTTACAGTCAATTCTAAACTAGAATAAGCTAAATTATTATAAAAGATTTATTATACCGTAAGATCGAGATAATCCTGATAACCAAAATAATCGAAGCATATAAACAGGAGGAACCGTCGATGTTACACGACTGATCCTTCACAGTGTGTAACATATAAGGAAATTATTTTACAATACCGCTAGTACATGTTATGATTATAATCTAACACCATTTTTATTATAATAAAATGATGATGGATTATTATCATAACATGTACTAGCGGTATTGTAAAATAATTTTTTTATATATTGCACACTGTGAAGGATCAGTCTTGTAACATTGACAGTTCCTCCTGTTGCCATATAATTATTGCAATGTTGACGCTGTCGGAATTTTATAGATAGATTAACCATAACGAAAAATTTCGCGGTATCGCAATCACCGACCATTTCGACACATGTAAAATGATATCCAGATTTTGGTTCCAAAGGGAGGACGGAATCCATAAAATCAAAAATCTTGAAACTTAATCATCACGTCGTGTAATGCCAGAGTTGCAATGTTCAATAACACACGACGTGATAATTAAATTTCAAGATTTTTGATTTTCGGGATTTCGACCTAGACCTATCCCCAATTGACCTCTTTTACCGGTGTGAGTATGAAAAGGTATACTGTAACATCATGTGACACGTAAACATTTTAATTATTAGTTATGTTGCGTCTAATTTTACCTTTTCAAATTGGGTTGGAAATAGCCGGTAATCTTGAGACCGAAACTTTTTTTCTGCTATGACTGACCTACCTGAATTTTAAAATTGGATGTGACCTTAAATAAATTTCTATAATAATCACGTAATAATAACATGCCAAACTTTTAAAAGAATTATTCTTCCTGGCGCAATTATAGCCGACTCCTATGCGTGCGCCAAATACTTTCTCTACGCAATTAAAGGGAATTACGAAAATGAGGATATATATTTAGACTCTATGTACGTTGTGTTCTTCAGTCCTGAATTACTTCACTGCATATTTTAACCTCATTTTGCATTTATGATTAGACAATTACGGCTTTTAACAGTTGCAGTTTTATTAATTATCACATTGTATCATATGTACTCTAATCGATGGGCTATCATAATTAATAGGATTTTTGCCATATTTAAGTCTATTGCCATACTTTTCGTTTCAATATATGGCTTAGCAAATGGCAAAAATCAATTGACTTTTAATAATACTCCATCAGATGAAGCATATGAGCCGTCTATTATAGAACACATTGGAAATTATGGAAATGCTTTAGTATTGGTATTGTATAACATATAATATCTTTAATTTTTTTTTTACTTAAAAACTTAAATGAAATTCAAATACAGGTCCTATTTACATACGAAGGTGTGTTAATATAGTTTTTGAGAATTTTCTATATTCTTCTGAAGATAAGCACTATAGAAAATATCTTCTCTGATCAATTTGTTCAGCATGATGTACAAAAAAGTGCTTATTTGTCAGAAGAATACCGGTAGCTATTAAATTATCAAAAATCGTTACTAATTAGGTATTTCATTATTGTACATTTAAAAGGGTGGAATAATGTCAATTGTAAGACGATTCATCATGTTATAACTATTTAAAAATAAGATTAAATTTGATTAACTATGAACAATTTTTTAGATTTAACGGAGGAGTTAAAGTCTCCAAAAAAAAACCTGAAATTTTCAGGCCTTCTAAGTGTGATCATTTCTTCTATACTTTGTAAGTTATAAATATATTTTTTATATATCTAATTTATTTAATTCATTATATTTTAGCAGTATTCATGTCATATTTGTTTTTTATTACAGATTTATTGATTAATGCTGCTTTTATATTGGTGGTATCACCTCATGATGCCATAAATTCTTATGATGCTATCGCTATTAACTTTGGACGCACATTATGGGGTGACTCAGGAAGAATATTTATGTCAATATTAATCTCATCTTCTGCTTTCGGTTGTGTGAGTTCAATGGTTTTTATGTAAGATTATTAAAAATTTACATTATACAATTGATAAAATGGTTTATTACATTGTTTAATGATTTATCTTTTAAATAGGGGTTCTCGTGCTATAACATATGCTGCTAAATATAGGTTTATACCAAAAATATCTGACAAGTTATTTTATTGGAGCAAAACCCCATTTCATGCTTTACTTTTACAATTTTGTTATTGCACAGCTTTAATTCTTTTAACTGCAGTAGGCCAAAGCTTTTTTGTTTTTTTTGCTGAAATGTCATTATACTCAGCTATATTATTCTATGGTGTCGGAGCCGTCTGTTTATTGGTATGCTGAAGTAATCATTTATGTTCAAGTTATTTAATTTGTTACTACATATACTTATCTAATTTCAAATTAGAAATTGAAGGAATATTATAAGGACGCTCAATTACGGCATTTTAAAGTAGATATATTCTTCATTTGGCTTTATTTATTATGCACAGCTTTTATTGCTGTAGCTCCATTTTTTCCAATTCCATCAAGTAAATACGAGCCACTTAATTATAAATCTTTCGTGCCGTTCGTTGCTTCATGGGTCCCTATATTGATAAGTGTGAGCATTTGGTATTTTCACGATTATAAAAAGGTGTCAATATCAGATATTCTAAAATTTCTTACTTTCTATAAACAATAATTTATTATAACGTTAAATTAACAATTTTATCTGTAATAATAATAGTTACAATTTAATTGAAATTATATTTGTTATATCAAGTTAATATATATATATATCACACATTATTTACAATATTTTTAGTCAAGAAGGCTCAATGAGCTCATTCACAAGTTTGACTTGTAATATTATGAAATAAAAAAAAAAAATCTAAATTTTACAAGAATTTTTTGACAAAACCTTAAAAGTGGTATTACAATAAAAAATGTAAAATTCTTTATCCCCGTTTTGCAGGCAATTTGGTTTGCAAATTTTTAATAAAAATTTGGTTTTGCTGGTACAACTCAAATAAATCATAATATAGGTCTATGTGTAATGTTTTTATCGACAAGATTACTCATGAAGTGCTTTTAGCTAATATTATTTTTAATTACTTTTGATAGCAACTCGCCTTTATTTTCTTTTTAGCTTAGTTAAATAACTCCAATAAAAACTATATGGATGTATTACAGGACGTATCATTTATAACTACCATAAGTTTTTAGGTATAATTTAGAATTCCGATATTTTGCTATTTGATAAATTCTAAATGGTATATTTGTCGCAAGTAGCGATTTATCTAAAGTATCTAATGCATGCATGAAGATCTAATTTCAGGGGCTTAATTTTAGCCAGGCGCTACTTCAAATAAGTCGCTACTTCAGATGCGACATATTCAACACATTCTCATGACTCGATTGGTCCATTTATATATGTCGATATGACTTTAATGAGGTAAATATGTGTGATTATTGAATAAATTTTCTCAGGAAAGTTTTCCTGCAAACAAGTTTACGGGTCAAAAGGATGTGTGTAAATAGCAATATTATGAATAATCTATTCAAGCTTAATAAGTAATTGTAATAATGAATGCTATAAATTGATTAATGTAATAAATATAAAGCATAATAACTAAAAAAAAAACTTGACAAAGAAATCATACTATCTATTATCATCATTCAAACCCTATTTTTGAACACTTATATTAATAAAATTTAAACTTTATTAGTCAATAAAATAGTAAAGATAACTTACCACTATATGAATTAATGTAAAGGTTTTCCATTGACCCTATTTGATTTGAAAATTATTAATCATTTCCACTTTTAACTATAGCTTATAAATACAGTTATATTTAAATTTACCTATAAGTTGAGATGTATATTTCGTGTTTTGATGGCTCGAATTTTTTAATAACGTTAAACGCTTATCTTTAATTTTATCTGCTTCTAAAAATTCATTTTTAATTTCAAGTTGTTTTTCATTTAGTTCTTCGAAACTTTTATCAAGTATTATCTCCCAATCTTGTAATTTTTCATAAATATTCGCTGCTGTTGGTCGTTTTTCTGGATTAACATCCATACATTGATTTGCAAGTTCTATATAACAATTAGGTGTTCCTGGAGCAAATTCGGGACGTAGTCCATTTATTATGTTCAATTTCAAATTTTTATTAAGAGGTTTATCGTTAAAGGGAGGTTGACCAGTTGACAATTCTGACATAATTACACCAAAACTATAAATATCAGATTCCTTTGTGTATGGCTTCTTTAATAATGCTTCTGGTGCTAAATATGATATAATACCATATTCAATTGCATTATTTTCATCTATCTTTCTAGATAATCCTAAATCAGAAATTTTTGGTGTTATATCTATTTTTCCACCGACTTTTCTTGGAATCATTAATATCTTGTCACCTATATCATGAAAAGTTTGAATAAAATCATCTGTACTAAACATAAGTATATTTCCACTATGAAAATCTCCATGAATATAATTTTGATGTATATAATCTAAATTATCTGATATTGAACAAAGATATTTTATTTTTTGTTTCCAGTTAAGGGTTCTAAAATTTTTTTCTAGATAATGTCGAAGATCCCCTTCATCTGCATATTCAAAAACCATCATATATTCATTTTTATTTTGGTCATATGTTATTCCATATGTTTCTATCCCATACTTTTCTATGCTAAATCTTTCAAGTTGGCATTCATAATATGCTTTAAACTTTAAAAATAAAAAAATTATTAGTCAAAAAAATAAAATAATGCAAATAAGATAAATTAGTCAAAGAAATTTATTTTTACTTCTTTCATAAAATCCGATGAAATATTTTGAGTTCCAATTAAACTCTTGAGGGCAATCTTGCAGAATGGCTCGCGTGATGGTATTACTTTATCGCTTATTATGTCAAAATCGTAGATTCGCCTACCATCAATCCAAGTTGCTGAATACACTGTGCCAAAACCACCTTCACCAATTTCCTGAATATTTTCTATCCTTTCAAAAGGTATCCATTCAATCATTTTATTATAATAATCCGAAATTTTCTGTGTTTTCTTAATAAAATCGTCAATTTCCTCATTTCCACTAATTAGATCTTGATTTATTTGGGTATCACATAAATGACAAAATCTAAATCCAGTGTTATATTGCATACATTTTGGACAAATACCAGATCTAATATGTGTCGCTTTGATACTCGATTTAATTCCTAAAGATTTATTTAAATCAGCAAGAGATTCTTTATATCTACCCATATATTGATAAGTTAATCCACGTTTATTAAATGTCATTCCATAATTTGGCTCAATTTCTAATGCCTTATTTAAATCCGTAAGAGACTCTTCATATCTACCTATCTTTTGATAAACTTCACCACGATTAATCAATGCAGCTACTTTGTTTGGTTCAATTTCTAATGACTTATTTAAATCTGAAAGTGATTTTTCGTACTTGCCCATTAACATATAAGTTAATCCACGATTATTTAATATAGTTGCATTATTAGGATCACCTTTTAGTGCTTTATTTAAATCCGCAAGTGATTCTTCATATTTAAAAATTTTACGATGAGTTATTCCACGAATTTCTAAAGTTTTCACATTATTAGGTTCTATTTCTAATGCTCTATTTAAATCTGCAAGCGACTCTTCGTATCTACCCATACCTTGATATAATGATCCGCGATCATTTAATACTGCTGTATTATTGGGATTAATTTCTAGTGATGCATTTAAATCTGTAAGTGATTCTTCATATTTATTCATCTCTTGATAAGTTAATCCACGATAGTTTAATGCTATTGCGTTATTGGGATCGATCTCTAACGATTTATTTAAATCTGCAAGTGACTCATCATATCTATCTAAATGTCGATAAACGTCGCCACGAACACTTAACGCCATTGCATTGTTTGGTTCTATTTCAAATAACTTATTCAAATCTGTAAGTGATTTATCATATTTACCCATTTCTTTATAAACGAATATACGAATATTTAATGCGGTTGCATTACATGATTCGATTTCTAGTGTTTTATTTAAATCTGTAAGTGCCTCGTCATATCTTCCCAATGTTAGATAGACACGTCCACGACTGCTCAATGCCATTACATTATTTGGATCAAATTCTAGAGATTTATTAAAATCTACGAGTGATTCTTCGTACCTATTCATCATTTGATGGAGAATACCACGCTTAATCAACGCCTTTACATTATTTGGCTCAATTTTTAATAAATTGTTTAATGCTAAAAACAATTCTTCATATCTACTCATTAGGTTATCAATCGTTAAATCTTCATGCAATTTATTGTTACCATCATCGTCGTGACTGCCATCACTGTCGATATCCATTTTATAACATAATCTGAGATTATTTAGTATAGTTTCATCATATTGTTCTGTTCCCATTGATTTTCTTGGATCATTAATCATTACATTACTTGGACCAATTTCTAATGATTTATTTAATGTTTCCGTATTATTTGATTTGATTTCGATATCATCACTATCGTCATTTTGATCTATTTCTAATATTTCATTTAATTTTAAAATTTCATTATCATTATCATTTTGTTCGATTCCTAATATTTCGTTTAAATTTGTAAATTCAACTTCGATATCGTCATCACTATCATAGTATTGTTCCATTGCTGATAATTTATTAAAATCAGCGAGTGATTCTTCACATTTGCCCATATATTGATAAGTTAATCCACGGTTATATAGCACTGTTGCATTATTTGGTTCTATTTCTAATGACATATTAAAATCTGCCAATGATTCTTCATATCTACCCATCTTTTGATAAATTAATCCACGAGTATTTAAGGCCTTTTCGTTTTCAGGTTCAATTTCTAATAATTTATTGAAATCACTAAGCGATTCTTCATATTTGCACATAATTAGATAAGTTGCTCCACGATTATACAATGCATCTTCATGATTTGGATTAATTTCCAACGATTTATTTAAATCCACAAGTGACTCTTGATATTTTTCCATCCACTGATAAGTTGAACCACGATTGCTTAATGTGTTTGCATTATTTGGATCTATTTCTAATGATTTATTTAAATCTGCGAGTGATTCTTCGTATTTATCCATCCCTTGATAAGTTAATGCACGGTTATTTAATGCCGTTGCATGATTTGGTTCTATCTCTAATGCTTTATTTAAATCTGTGAGTGACTCTTCATAACTACCTAAAATTCGATAAAGGTTTCCACGATTATTCAATGCCACCACAAAATTTGGTTCTATTTCTAATGACTTATTTAAATCTTCAAGTGATTCATCATATCTATCCATATCTTGATATGTTAATGCACGATTATGTAATGCGTTTGCACTATTCGGTTCTACTTTCAATGAATTATTTAAATCTTCAAGTGATTCTTCAAATTTACCCATCTCTTGATAAACTAATCCACGATTATTTAATGCAATCGCATCATTTGGTTCTATTTCCAATGCTTTATTTAAATCTCTAAGAGACTCTTCATATCTACCTAAAGTTCGATAAACGTCACCACGATAACTTAATATTGTTACATCATTCGGATTTATTTCTAATGCTTGATTAAAATCTTTTAATGATTCTTCATATTGACCTATGTTAAAATAAATTAATCCTCTATTATATAATGAAAATGTATCTTTTGGATTAATTTCTAACGATTTATCTAAATCTGCAAGAGACTTTTCTGCTAAAAAATAATCTGGTCGTTTTCTCAAAGATAGCAGCATTATTTATTTTAGAAAACTTTTGAACAGTTAAAAATTAGGGTTTACAAAAGCACCAACACATGGTTAAGTTTATCAATTTGATACGTAAATCTTAATTGCGATGTGCATGGAGATGTGCATTTGGGGCGCATTATGCCAAAATTAGGCGGATTTACTTATTTGTGCCGGTAATACAGCACAAAAAGGAAAATTGATTTTGTAAATAAAGTGCGTAAAAAACACAAATTTAGGGTTAGAATGTTAAAATTAGAAACTATTGCCATAATATATTGCTCATTAAATGTAAAATCTTTGTACCCGACATATTTAATTAGTGCACCAAGCTCGATTCAAACACTAATTTTTGCCTTTTCTTCTTTGACACGTGTTCGGAATTCATGTCAGGCTGATACAGAATGATCAAAATTTGAACGACTATTTTCTTTTTAGGAGTTTGTATTACCGGTATCAGTAATGGGTATTCATATTCGGCGAATATTTGAATAAATAATTATTAGACGAATAATTCGAATAACAAATCTTATTTGAATAAGCAAATTATTCGTCACATGAAACTTCAATAATTGGCTGCTTTACACATAGTAACTGCATATTATTACAATATATTCATTAAAATCGATTCTAAATCCAGAATCGATTCTTGAAAATTTTGTAGAACCGATTAAATTGTTTATCCAGGAAGCCATACACAAAGTGATCTGATATTTATAGTTTGGTGTAATTACTATTGACACGAGCAAAACGGCGAGTCAGTCACTTGTCGATGGGATATGTCGTGTAACCTACGAACGGCTCAGTCGATAAGAGGCGGAGAGTGGTGTGTTTATGATCGTAGGTTTTACAATATAATTAAACAGGGAATATTAGGAGTGGATTTTATGATAAGCACAAACTGAACTATTCTTGTAGGGCTCGAAGCCTTTATTATATATTGTTCAATTACATATGCGTTCTTTAAGGTATTAAACATATTATCCCTATTATCCCTCATTTACCCCTGTAATGTCCTTTATCACTTAAAACCCGTATTTCTTATATAACTAGGGTTGTTAATGGAGTAGCTTGCTCCGGAGCACTCCGGAGTAGAACCCAACCCAAGTTGGAGTGGGTTTAA